CCCTCCCTCCCTTCCCCCAGATCATCCACCGCGATAGACAGACCAGTTATATGTTTACCGCTGGTAGACGCATCCCCCAGTGCGAGATGCGATCTGGGACCCTCCGCGACCTTCTCCCCCGTCTTCATTCGCTCCTGCCATGATCATCGAGTGCGTGCCCAACTTCTCCGAGGGAAGGAACAAACAGGTATGCGGGTCTCGATTTCTCACGCTCTTCGACCGGTTCGACCACTCGCTTTATGTCAGACGCGAAATGCGTTCGACGTTTCCACGTGCGAAGTAAATTCTCTTCCGGCGTAAAAATGCCTTCTATTCTTAGACTGGATCTCGGTAGGAATCGATTCAAACTTTGCCGTTACCTTTGTCGAACGACGGTAGCGGCGGGGAATCTATCGGCGTACGGTTCGGGGACTGGGAGACCCCAAATGCCATAATAATGATTAAGTTATGAAGCTCCCGTAAGAGTGAATAGTCTGGAGTTGCGTAATGTCCCGCCCGGCCCTCACGTGAAAGGGTCTGGAATGATGAAGGGTCGGCCTTATGGAGATGCAGACAATGTAAAAGCGTGGAGTCTGGATTCTTGCACGCACGACCCGGCCCCTGATATACGAGGCAATAAAGTCAGGGAATCTGATCGTATACACTCGGGAACGGAGGGGAAGGGGGGGGGATCCAGTGTAAGTTGACGCGTGTTTACATTCGCCTCCAGAGGTCAACGGAGTCGGCCGACTCCAACATTGGGGATTCGGAAGTCTCCAGACTCCTCGTGCGCGTTCGAAAGGGAGCGTGACGTCATCCATGACGTAAGAACCCGTCGTTCCAGGTGATCGAGGCGATCGCAGATGCGGTGAGGGGGACGGACGGGGCGACGCTGTTGGACGTCGACCCCGGTCCGTCCACCAACAGGACGGTGTACACGTTCGTGGGGAGCCCCGGGGCCGTCGTCCAGGCGGCGCTCGACGCCGCCAAGGTCGCATGGAGTCTCATCGATATGACCCAGCACAAAGGTGAGAGAATGGAGATCGCGTACCTAGAATTATGAAGTATTTTAATGCACAAAGAAACCGTTTGAGTGGGTTCGACCACTTTGTTTCTTCTCGTATGATATCCATGCGATTCTGGCGTATTTCAGTTCTGCTCTAATTTCCTCGCCATTTCATCGTTTCAAAGAATTTATTTTTCGCCCTGAAAAAAATCTTTTTCCGCGAATCCGATAACAGTACGAATCCTCATCCATACATTTGAGATATACAAATTTTCATACCAGCCACGCATATCCTAGCAGTAGCGATAGCCTCGATCCCCCCCTCACCGCCCCCCCTCACTGCCCCCTCCCCCCCCCAGGCTCGCATCCCCGCATGGGCGCCCTGGACGTGTGCCCCTTCGTCCCCGTCCGAGACGCCACCGTGGCGGACTGCGTGGCCTGCTCCCGCGAGTT